CCAATGAATGTCCTTTTCCTTATAGCTATCTAAGGCCTTGGCTGAGCTTTTAATATATATTTATATATATGTATATGTATATTTTTTTAAATTCAGAGGTCATGGAATCCAGATACAAAATAGTCAAGCTTCTTGTAGACAACCTCATTCAAGGCCAACAGGGAAAGCTGTGAGCCCAGGAAAAAAAGACAATCAGCAGCTAAGTCTACAGCTTAAGATAACTTCATTCTAATTTATTGTAATAGTTACAACAATATTTTAAATAAAAAATCAATTCTATTTAACTTTAATTAATCCCTTTACTCCCAAGAGTGCTAGGTCAAAATTTGAGAAGAAATCTTTTAATTTCAATGTGCAGAATCAACAAAAACAAAGAGTAAAACATGACAGTGCTGCTTGACCGCTTACATTTGAATGTTTACACACAAGAGTCTTATCCAAATGAGTTACAACCACATAAAATCAAGTCAAAGCCTGTCTCTGGGAGTGAAAGGGTTAAATACAATTTGTATCATCATCCAAAATGAAATGATTCATTTTAAGACTATTTTTAGACAGATAGTATTTATTGCAATAAATATAATTTAAGATATTGTATTTTATGGAAAAGAATCAGCAGATTTTATTCACAATTTGTGTCAAACCAAAATTAATGACTGATTAGGACTATTTTACATGAATAGCTGTAGTTGAGGATTAATTCATATGAAGTTTTCAAGAAAAGAAAAATAAATCAAATTCTATCATATTAATAATACAATAAAAAACTTTTTACACGTAAACCTTAATTAAGTTTGTAAATAAATTTCATCGAATACTTGAATTTTAGCTGGGATTTTTTAATTTTTAGTAATTATTTTATATTAGGAGCCTCAAAGTTTTGCTTAAAATTCCCAGTAATTCTCAAACATTCCTAGAAATTCCTGAAAATTCCTGGACATTCCTAGAAATTCCTCGGATTTACAGCTTTTCAGGGAAAGTCATTGGTGCTCTGAGTTATAATTCTTAGGAATTCCAAGTCCTGTTGGCTATAAACTTGGAATTTCTGGGAATTTCTAGGTTTTTAGGACCAGAGTTGTTAAAATTGGGAATTCCCAGTCCGACTTTACTGCGAAAATTCACACCTCTTATTCCTAAGAATTCCTACAATAATCCTGGGAATTCCTAGGAATTCCAAAATCCATTTCGCAAGGATAATCTCTTGCCATTCAGCGTCAATTTTCTTTTCAAAAACAAATACAACAACCAATGAAACTAAAAAGATTTAATAATTATTTTTACTAATAAGAGATAATAGAAGCACTTTATTTCTAATTTTAGTTTATATCTTTCCCAATCACTGGAGGAAAAAAAAGCTCTTTTTACATTAATTGCTTTTCAAATTCCCTTAATCCACACTTGTTTATCAGCTTATTTAGCTTGTCATAAAAGGTGGAAAATAACCTGGAGGGATCCTCAGCAAATGATAATGACTCCCATGTGAGTTCCGACAATTCCTGCAAAAACATTGCTGCAAAAAACTTGAAAGGTCATGAGTTGCCATTCTTCAAGGTTTGGTGGTTTCAATAGTTGATTTAAGAACAGAAAATTGAGAAAAATAATGAGTGAGATCTGGAGCGTCACAATCTAGATCGATACCTGAATTTACATTAAGACTAAATAGGTCAGCCTCACGAAAGCTTGTGAGTCTGTCAACAAAAACATTAGAAAGGAATGAAAGAACTTATCTTTGTGACAAGTATTGTATTGCATTCTTCCTGTGCCATACTATGCAGTACAATGAGGTTCTTCACCCTGATAGGCCGGCTGTTTTCAGTTTTCCAGAGGCAGATGGCTTGGGTCTTTGCCCAGCAATAAGCATAGCTTCACCTATTCTTAAAGATTTTGGCTTTAAATAATAGCTCCTGAGCTTTTGGGGTTAGGTGATCCAAGATATCAGCATTTGAAAGATCACCATTATTAATACCAACGGCTGTTGGGTTTGCTTGATTAATTTCCCGTCGATGTGACATGACATCTTCTCGAGCGATTCTTCGTACAAATTTGCAAATTATTGGTTTCAGGCTAATCGAAGATGAATTTCGGCTGGGCACTCTGTGTGCAGTATGAATGTCGTTAAGTGTAAACATTAGCACCCATAGCATTAAAAAGTCAGATACAGAGTTTAGCCATTTAAAGAGCAGGTCTCTGCTTAGGCAGATCAATCTCTTGGACTCCCAATAACTTAATTTTGAAGTTCTAAATGAATTGTACCAAACCTGGTCAGCGTAAGACACAGACTGCAGACCGCAGACCGAGGGTAAAATTCAGACGAAGACTGCAGAACAGGGGTAAAATGTAGACTCCGTTCTTCGGTTGAAATTTATGGATATTCCTAGTTTATCTTAAAGATTAAACTTAAAACGAACTTGAGACTTTTACTTGCTCTTAATTTGTTTCAAATTAAGACTACGCCATTTTTCCAATGAATAAAAACACGTCACAGCAAAACAAAATTTCTTAAGCAGCCTTGTCAGCCACGTAGGTTAAGTTGACCATGATACTCAACGATTTATCTCAGGTTAATACTGAAGTAAAACACCGAGCGGAATAAGAAAGGCAAACGCCTGGGAATATTCTTCGGAGGTTTTTAATTACATTCTTATCTCGCATCCACAAATTTGCATTAAATTTAAAGAATTTGCACGCCTAACTTCGAAGCGCAAAACAAAGGTACGACAAACAGGTTTTTATTGTCCAAGTAATCGAAATTGCCAATATGCGATGAAAGTCTATCACTGATACTTTGAAGGCCGAATGAATTTTGCATGAGCTGCATTTATGTTCAAGCTACCTAACGTTGCTAAGCAGAACTGTTTATTCCTTAACAAGGGAAATGTATTCAGCTGGCTGTGAACTGCATATTTAAACACTTACGTTTCTAATCGTGATGCAAATTTTCAACGGAAACGTTGATGAAAATTATCGCCGCTTCGTCTTCCTAGTGAATCATTCATGTATGTCAGTACCCCTCTGGTGTAAGGTAGCGAGGCTGAACAGACTGCATCAGCTCTTTAGGTGTATAGATAAAAGTTACTGGCAGTGAAAGTTTACTTAATAAAAGTGTAGTTATAAGAATTCTCGACAAGGTTTCTGCTTCTTCTCTTATGAATTCCCTGCATAACATTTCCAATTAAACAGTCTTTCCAGTATAACTATAATACATCATTGCTTGATAAAAATTATTCTCGTTCTTGAGGAAAGAATTCCCGACCTAGTGGCAAGAGTTTCTGAAATAGAGATTCGTCTCAAGATATTCAGATGGAAAGCATTCTTAACAGAATTCTCTACAAGTTTCGTCGCGAGAAGCTTGATTCTTCTTGAAAGAATCGCAATCAAATTATTATTGATATAAGAATTTTGGATCTTAGTAAACGAAAAAAACATATTCGATCTCGTGACAAGTTCACAAAACCTATGTTAGCGATGGGTTGAATCTTTGATGAGTTGGATAGATGAAGGTTCTAACTAACACATTTATCTAAGTACCCTGCAAACGGGCGCGGTCCATGCAGCCATAAATTTAATTTTCACGGAAAGGTTCTTTCAAAATTCCTGAAACCATCACTTGTTTGATGAGAATTTGAAGCGATTCCGTAATTCATGTAGCTTTCGCACTTTGATCCAAATTAGGGCCTTCTTTCCACGGATACTTTCGAACTAAAGATGTCTAAGTACTAATGCACAAGCTCAGAAAGTTCGTCCACCAACAAACCAAAATAATTTTAGATTCGCATGACATTCGTTACCAGCCGGTTATTGCTCACATTATGTTTAAATGTGGTCTTTTGTGGGAATTCTAGAAATATACGCATGGCTACCAGCATTCACTCTGAGTTATCGATCACAACATCCACCAACTTATGGTGGGCACAAGCGGAGAACTCTTCTTTAATAGTATCAAATCAATAGCTTGCCATTTTTAGGCTCACACCGATTACCCTCAATCGATTTGCACGAAATTCTTGGGAAATTCAGCACCTATTTTTAACGTGACACGAGCCACAATTAACTCAATTTTCGAAGTGTTAAGAACATCACAATTTTCGCGTACGCACAAGTTCGGATATATCAACTAGAAAACCGATATCATTTCCGGGATCGCTTAAAATTTTCAACCGATTATCCAATACTTTCAAGAGATTTGAAAGAACCTTTTCTGGGTATCAAGTCCAATCAAGAACGTACAAAGCTACATAGCATTGTCTATTTTGAGCTAAAATTTGCAAAAAACTTACCATCCACCTTAGCTTTCTCGGAATCATTCTGCCAGAAGTTTCAGGAATTTCAGAAAGCCTTAAGAAAAGGTTCTTTCAACTGGTATAAATCTGAAGCACTGATAATTCCTAGAAAGAAAATACCTGAGCGCCTTCCACGCTCAACGTAAATGATCGTGACTCGACAAACACCGGTGAAAAGCAATGGAAAAGTCGTAAAAACTGAAGTGAGTAGAATTACAGTATCTGCATTACTTCGCTCTGTGATTGGACAACATAAAACGCCTTCCCTTTTTTACTGTGGTAGCCCAGTCATAAAACGCCTTTGTTTTTTTTGTCGTCTTTTTTTTTCCTCCGCCACAAAATGGAAAAATTGCGCAATAGTATCCAGTTGTCAAAAGGTGGAAAAAAAACAGTGAAGCAAAATAATTTAGCTTACACCTCTAGTATTCAGAGGAAACTTTACTTCAAACAGTATTATTTCCTTAAGTCTATTTAACATCAATAATAGTTAGTTGATAGTTGATGTTGATATGTTCACATTTTATAAAATAACATCTTAAGAACATCTGATTAACATGATCAGAATGTTAACTCTTTCGCTCCTGTCTTTTCTGAGAGTTTGTTTCTTAAGTTAAATCTCATCAAAACCGGAACCGCGTTTTTCTCAGCTGCCTTTTTTTACCTGGGAAACGAACCAGGAGTTCAATGTCAACGACCAGCGGTTACCGCTCTAAGAGTCACATCTTTCCCAACATGGCGGACACGTCGACTTTGTTCCAAGGTATATTTCGACTATAAATTTTTATTCTTTGAAATTGCAAGGAATGAAAAGGGACTAAATTTAATAGTAAGTCTTTTAAATGCTACTTCAAATATCTCGTTATCCTTTTTGTTCGAAGATTTGAAGTTTTTGCTCGCTAAAATTAACCTCTACTGTGCGGCATGTGTGCTGTATTGCGTTATTTATTTGCCATCATTTTCTCGCATTATTTAAATGGATCTCAATTAATATTGGATTTAATTTTTCTAGTTCTCCCAGGGATGTCCCTCTCACTCAAACACGTTTGCCTTGGTGTTCTTGTACTCCAGACTTCATCTTTAGTTCTAACGATGAGATACTCGAGAACGCTTCATCAAGAGGGCGATCCCATGTATATTGCTTCTACTGCCGTAGTGTTCGCTGAAATTTTTAAAGTGTGTGCGTGTGTAGCGGTTATTTTTCATCAGTCAAAGTTCCGATGGTCCGTTTTTCTTGGACAGTTACGGGAGGAGATTTATGACAAGCCATGGGAGACCCTCAAGTTGGCGGTACCCTCAGGGTTGTACACGATTCAAAATAATCTTCTGTTTGTTGCTCTGTCTAATTTGGATGCTGCCACGTATCAGGTGGGTAGATTAGGGGGAGGCTGGCTCTCGGAGACGCTTTCCAAATTGACTGGATCTTATTTAGCTAGCGCAATTATTATTCCATGTTTAGTTGATGCACATTTGTACGTGTACGTTGACTTATTATAAAAACTGTAATTAAATTGATTGATAAATATCTGAGTCAGCTACTCCCGAAAATACGTTGTGTCCTTTTATACGCATTGTTTATATTGTTTGACATCTGAGATATGAAGTATTTAAAGCATGGAAAGAATCTTTGCAATGAAAATAGTAGTGATATTTATTCATTCTTTTCCTTTCCAGGTTACATACCAACTGAAGATTTTAACTACAGCTTTATTCTCTGTGTGCATGCTTCACAAAAAGTTAGGTGTTTTAAAATGGATTTCCCTTCTCCTCCTTATGCTTGGAGTTACTTTAGTTCAGGTGAGATTTTATTTTGGGATACTCAAGGATCAATGCTAATGGCACAAGATTTTCATGGCTTATTTTGTACTGATTTTATTTTGTGATATCATCAATATCCCAGATATCTTAGTACAGAGTGGTGAGTGAAATATTGCCACGTGGCCCCATGTGTGCCTATGCATGCAGGGCTAAGCTTCACTCTTAACCTTTTAACTCCCAAGAGTGACCAAGACAAAATTTCTCCTTACTATATCGATACAATATCATGCAGACAAGTGATGAGAATAAAAGAAAATATCCATTATGGAATTACTTATTGATCCCATTCCAAATTCTCCAAACGAACATAATGAGAATCATTTGGTAGACAGTTAGGAGAATTACCCCTCCCCTCCCTATCCTAGGCATTTTTTTTCATCTTCCCTCAACAGTTCTCTGATAATGATTCACACTCTGGAAAGGGGAGAGGTGTTGTGAGGGAAAAAATCTTGTCCAGAAATGCAACACACTACTTCTATTGGGGCCACATCCAACATCCTCTATCAATTTGGTATTAATTTCACCAACCAGTAGTTCACAATATTCTGATTATCACCTCCTTAGTTTCGTTTTTTTACTCACTCTGCTCTTACCCTCAGAGATTTTTACCAATTTGATACAGCAGTTTAAACACTTCATCTGAATGTTTAGGTCTTGCTTGCCATTAACCCATTAACTCCTATGAATGACCAAGACATAATTACAATATCATTACAATATCAATACAATATCAACCAGAAAAGAGATATGAATAAAGAAAAATATCAATTTGGGAATAATTAGTTGATCCAATACTAAGTTCTCTGAACTAATATCATAAGAACTGTATGATTGACAATAAGGAGAATTATAAATTTGATCTGAGTATTAAAGGGTTAAATATACCTTTCAATATGCTACTCTTACTCTGAATATTCTTTGCTATTCACCTTTGAGCAATTGCACCAGAATATATTATTATCATCATAGGAATTAAAGAGTGAAAATCATCTTTTTTGTGCTATATTATTTCCCTTTTTTTGTGTATACTGCAATTATTCACTTCAGTGTCAATGGCTAGCAATGGATAGTTACCCCACAGCTTTGTGCTTCTGTAGGTATCCACCACAAGCCACTTCCACTTAGTTTAATAATCCTTAATTATCCCTTTGTTTGACTTTTTTGTGTATTTGTTTTTCTTGTTAATAGTGGCATCCAGATAAAGGTGAAGAATCCCCCGCAAAGGATACTTCAGTATCAGGAAAATTTATAGGACTTATAGCTGTTCTCACAGCCTGCTGTTCCAGTGGATTTGCTGGGGTCTATTTTGAAAAGATTTTAAAAGGAACTAAAGCATCTATATGGATGAGAAATATTCAGTTAGGTAAGACCAAACTTGTGCTACTGACCCTGGTTGGTCGAAGGGTGGACAATGCTATCCACTGGATAAATCTCTATCTGGTGGATAGAGCAGTACGTTTTGTTAACACTTATCCATTGGATAGCATTATCTGCTCTTTGAACAATTGGACTCAGGTCTACATGTAAGGTGAAGTTTGCACACAAACAAGGTTGCTTGTATTGCTGCAAATGGAGCTTCTTCCAGTTTCTAGAGTATTCAGTGACTTTGGATTTTTGTTTCTCTTTTTTATGGGATACTAGTCCAGCACATGAACTGTGCATATGTGTAACATCCAGTGTTTTACCAACTTGCCAGTAGCAATATATTAAAGTTCACTTAGCAACCAGGTGGACAATCAGACATGCTAGTAGCTATCTAAACTATTTGTTGTTGGGGGGAGGGGGGGGGGGCTGATGTATTTAAATGTTAGTCAGTCAAGATGCCAATAAGAAGAATTTGTTTAACAACTGAGAAGTTCTTTAGTTGGTGATCAATTTCTTTATTCTTGGGACCTTACTGTGTGATTGAGGGGTGATATTGTAATGAGAATTTAGACGAAGAGAGACAAGTCATTTGTAGGGGCTGGAGGGTTAACCTTGGATTAGATTAATCCTATATTGAGCAAGATATATGTAGCTCTTATGAATTTTTTTCTACAACATATACCAGCAAGAGAGGATTTTAACTTGTGTCCCTTTAGCTGTAATTGTAGTCTAACTTGACTCTGTATTTGAGACTTGATTGTGAAAGTTTAAGGAGAATCAAGACTCTTTGTTTGTAATTTGAAGTGTTTTAACCCTTACGCTCCCAAGATCTCTTTGATAATTCTCCCTGCTGTCTGCCATACAGTTCTTATAAAGGAGTTTGGATAATTTAGTATTAGATCAACTAGCAATCCCCTAATTGATATATTTTTCTCAATTCTCATCACTTGTCTTCTTGATGTTGTATTAATATTGTAAGGAGAAATTCTGTCTTTGTCACTCATGGGAATTTAAGGGTTAAGTAAATACATACATTGTGTACTAGTAGTTGAAAATAATCCCATACGGGCCTGAATTTTTTTTCAGGTCCTATTTTCAACTACTAGTTCAGTAGGGTTCTTAGCTGCAAGGATCTCTTAAATTCATTTCTTAACTGCAGTGCAAATATATGAATTTCATATATCTAAAATCATTATTCATCACTTGGATGGTTTATTTGGACCCAACATATTGACCAGCTCCCAGTTGGCCTGTTAACTCAGTTGGTAGAGCACTGCACCGGTATCGCAGAGGTCAGGGGTTTAAATCCCATACGGGCCTGAATTTTTTTCAGGTCCAATTTTCAACTACTAGTTCAGTAGTGTTCTTAGCTGCAAGGATCTCTTAAATTCGTTTCTTCACCGCAGTGCAAATATATGAATTTCATATATCTAAAATCACACACATTGTGTATAAGTTTGAGTTTTCATGAGAGTGATTCAGTCACATTCATGCATCTTTCCTCACTGACATTTTTCTCCTTGGTTGCATTTTTTAGGAACTTTTGGTGTGATATTTGGTCTGATAGCAGTGTATGGAAATGATGGACAAGCTGTAGCAGATCAAGGTTTTCTTCAAGGTTATAACATGATCACATGGATAGTTATTTCACTTCAGGTACGTTGGCTAAGAAAGTAACGTTCAGGCGCCAGTATGACTCGAGGGTGTGTGTGGGGGGACAGAGGCTAAACTATTTCAAGGGCTTCCAAATAGGGAAGTGTCGGGAGAGATTATTGTGTACTTTCTGAGGGTTGAATTGCAAGACGCGTTTTACCCCGAAATTTTAGCTATGAATTAAATGAACATTTATTTGGTGAAACAGTGTAGACGAAAAGGGACCGGTGATTGAAACTATAATAATAAAAGAGCGAAGTTATGTCTAAAGCACATGGGAACGTTAATGAAACAAGTGGCGATCGGTTTTAGTTTAATGCCTGATTAGTTGCTGGGTTCTTAGTAAATTGAAGCAATATGGCGGGTGGTTTAGGCTTAGTAAATACGTGCCTGATAGAAAATGGAAGAGTGCTCAACCATCGAGAAAATTTAAAAGCATCTATCTTGTGGAATGCGAAAATGGCTTTCGAGAAAGTTGTCTGTTTGTGAACTGTTTTGTAGCATTGACCTGTTTTAATTTTCATTCGGGTTGCTGTTCACAACTTACGTTGTGTCGCATTATTAGGCGCTTTTTAGGCGGCGACTGACACTTAGTGAGAACCTGGAGTTGACACAGTGACGCGAGTTTTCTTCACCAATGAAAAACCGAAAACTCGAAGCGCTACATCAAAAATAAGAATACAAAGTCCTGTACATTTTCATTTGTGACGAGGAAACCTCCAAAACACGCGACTCGACATGTGACTCTTAGCTGTTCACTTAAACAAGATGTATTTTTATTTTATTTTACAGGCATTTGGTGGATTAGTAGTTGCTGCGGTTGTGAAGTACGCCGACAATATATTGAAGGGGTTTGCCACGTCCGTGTCAATAGTTGTGTCGTCACTGGTGTCGTTCCATTTCCTTAATGACTTCAAGCCAACAAAGTGAGTGCCTTTATTATGTTAAATAATAATCTCGCTTTGTGTTTATCTTACTGTTTTCTACTTTTATGGGAAAAAACTTACAAAAATCAATGAATACAAGAGAGGATTAATCTACTTGTAAAAGAGGTATGCTCAGTCATAGGGTTGATTCCTTAGATTAGCCCTCATAAATTATATTTTACGTTATATGTTGAATTTGTCTCGCGTTTTGATTGGTTCTTACCTGTGATCTATTGAAGGACAGACGCACAAATGACGTCACTATTAACAACATTTTGCTTCTTTATTAACAAAACAAATAGAATCCATGAAAATCTTGATATGACCAATTCTGTTTAGTCTACGTTCACGCCCTTATTATAAGCGCCGCAGGGTGCGCGTTTTTCGGCCCGCAGGAAGATTTGAGACGAGTAAGTGAGAGGTTTTTCTGAGGGTCTGGACCTCATTATCAGTGCCAGACCTCTTGCGGGCCTCTAGTTGCTCAAGGTCACCCACTTTCCCACGGACGAAGAACGCTCTTGCTGAAGGGTTAATGATGAGGGTTTGCTCCCAGGCCAAATGCTGTTTGGCGAATTTTCTATGGTCTTCATCTCTTCATCCCATGAAACATGTATTCATTCCTCTCAAAAATAATCTAGCAGTACGTGAGGGAAATGGAACATTATTCCTGGAAAACCGGAGTCGTGTTGTCCAAACTTTAAGTCAAGTCGCCCGAAATCCCGAGTCATGTCGCCCGATTTTTTATCACATATAAAAGTATAAAAATAGCAAATTATAAGAAAGCGCTGAAGGTAGCGATTGATCGAACAATCCTTGTGTGTCTGCCTGCCTGTCTGTCTGTATGTCAGTCTCTTTGTCTGCTTGTCGGTCTGTCTGTCTGCCTGCCAGTCAGTCTTTCTATCTGCCTGTCAGTCTGTCTGCCTACTTGTCTCTCTGTCTGGCTGTCGATCAGTCTGTCTGCCCGTCAGTTGGTCTGTCTGCCTGTCTCTTGGTCTGTCTGCCTGTCGGTCTGTTTGTCTGTCTCTGTGTCTGTCTACCTTTCTAGTTACCGTTTCTGTAACTCCAACCAAATTACAAATCTTCTGTCCCAGGTCGTTACGCACAACACCGGATCATTGGCTAAAAATCAAACATTTATATGTTTTTGGTTTTTCTGTATTTCAGCTTTTTCTTTTTGGGTACCTGTGGAGTTTTAACAGCCACGTTTTTGTACGGTTTGCCTGAGAAGAAATCACCTCAGCTGACACCTGCAAAACCCGTGTAGTGCCCGATGGATGTTATTACAAAGGTAGTGATAGTTGTAATTATATATTTTTATATGTTTTGAATTCTGCTCTGCCCATCAACATGTGCTATTGTCAAAAATGGAAAGATGACATATCGATATCATGCAAACCGTTCTTTTAAAAGATAGGAACATGTCAAACTCAAGTTTAGCGCCTTCTTCATACTCTTTGTTGTGTTTATTTAAAGGATTATGTGTCTTGTTGTAGGGTCGGTTATTGTATCAGCTGATGGGCGATGTAAGGTCGGTTTACTGTGAGCCGATTGTCGACCGGTGGTTGACAATCACCCGACCAATAGACGGCCAATGTCTTGATGTCCTGGTAGGCTAGACCATCAGTCAAGTGGGGGTGAACTATGAGGCTGTTATCAACTGACTTTTGATCACTACCGACCAATAAATCGATCTTTCTTGGGTCCAAAATATCGACCGAGGCTGAATAGAACACGTGTCTTTTAGAGAGGAGAAGCTTACGTAGAATTCTCGCTAATTTCTTATTGAAGTCGCATGAAGGCGACCTGGAAATTTCCATAATCCAAGTTTCTCTCAGATTGAAGATGTTCTTTTGTTTTTAATGCTTTGTTTACTTGTTTGTTTTTTCTAACTATAATTTCAATAGCTATTTGAAACATTCTAAGCTCGAACTCCTAATAGTTGCTCGTGGTCAAAATAGGGAACCCAAGATCATTGGTATGTTAATAAAGTAGAATTTCGGTTAACTGATGGTAAAATCCACGCAGGCTGTTGGGAAAATAGGAGAAAAGCTTTTAAACTAAGAGCCGGGGGCGGTAAACCGAAAGAAAGTGCGGTCTATTGCCTTTTTAAAATACAATTCGGTATTTTGGGGGTTTATGGGTACAATAAACGATAAGTTTTTGACCAATCAGAACGCCCTTCGTATTTCAGCTATTTTATAATATTGTGATAAAATTTCCAATCATGGAAGAGAGGAAATGTTTTGACTTAGTACAACTTCAGATCAGCAAATTTTGGTTCCCACGCACTCTTAGCTCTTTTATCGATGAGATGTTTTATTTATTTAATGTTACATATCTTACATACTCACGGTGCGTTGTGAGAAGGTCACAGTGAATACACTTTATAAGTAAAGAAAAGTAACTCTAACGAAGTAATTATGATGCGTTGTGGGCATGTTGATCGAGGGGCCTGGCTTTGAACCTGTACCCGTCGGGGACTGGGCGGAAGGATAGTAGATCGATAAACTACGGGATATATTTAATAGATTTATGTTTATTATTACGAGAGCAAGGTAACAATAATTTTCTAAATAAAAAACAACTTTTATCTATTTACCAAACATGTTTCGACACCCTTATGTCTTCTCAAGTTGCAAACGTGTTCTATACAGTTTGAATATTTCTTTGTAATCACGTCTTATATTAACTTTGTAAAATAACATTCTAAAATTGCGTTGCAAAATGACCACAATTTGAGAAGGTAAAATACACTGAAAAAGAGAATAGCAAAAGTTTCTTAAGTGAGAACAGAAGATTAAAATTACCATAAGCAACTTTTCATCTAGTGTATTTTAACACTTCAAATTGTTAACGTAATTTTGTAACGTAATTTGTGACTGTAAAAGTTATACTATACAACGAACATGGGCGCCTGAAGATGGTCTAGAATGTCGAAACATGTTTTTAATTAGGAGACTTTGATTCAAACAATCGGTTCAGCGCTGCCTTCCGAACAAGTTATTGCCTTGAAAGGCTATGCGCTGATTTGGAGGGGCTTTGGAAAACGTTGAGTTTGAATAAAGCTATTTGATTAGTGATAAAGAGGGAAAAAGAGAATGTGAAAATATATTTATTGTGTTCTTTAGCCATATTAACTTGCCGAGGTAAGGGATGGTGTTATATTAAAACAGACTGTAGTCGGAAATTTGAAAGCAGAGGAATAAATGGAGTCAAAAATTGTCATTGTAATTTGTTTATTTTCCATTGCCAAACAACCTTAGATCTTGAAAAAGTTTCTGTTTACGAAAGCTGTGCGCTTTTACAGGGGCGGTGGAAAACGAAGAGGTTTTCGTGGTAAAGATCTACGCGCCCGTCCAAATTTACGCTGGCGATGTAGCTCATATGTGAGGTTTTCAAGCCTGTTTTGGATGATTTCCTAAACGATTTATATTTTTCATTGATTATTTGATGATTGAAATAGAAATGACTTCCGATCAAACGTGCCCGCATTTTACTCTACCGCTGTCTCGCACGTAAACAAGCATTCTAAGTTGTGTGGCAAGACTGTCGCGGTTTTAAACATGAATGGGGTCGTCACGTAATCTCGGGTACACGAATTCTCGTACCAGTCCTACTCTAAAGCATTCTTCGCTGCTACGGCGGGTCGACGTTACTCGACCTGGGAGGGGAGGGTTACCTAACACAACGGGGTTTCCGTCGGCTATGAGTAACCTCAGCTCCCTACTATTTTAAAATAATACGAATATTGGACAGGAAAATTTTACCTTTCTTTTACCTTCTATTGAAAGGCAGCACCCGTTTTATGAACTAATTTTCTCGTCATCCGACCGTCAGAGGGAAGCAGTTGTGAGCGAGGGTAAGCCTGACGATTATTCTTTCAGTTTTTTGACAAAAATTTTTGTATCATAGGCTAACATTAATTTTTTTTCCCCATTTTCTTTTACATCGACGCAAGAACTTAAGGAAAAAATGCACAGTTAGTTCTTGGTGTTTTCAGTTGACACTAATCATTGCCATATGAATCTCGCCACTGAACGCAAATTATTTACGAAAGGAACCCTTCGGGCCATTTCAAATACTTAAATTGCAGGCTTTCATTCCTCTTCATTTGCTTTAACTCGTAGATTCTACCCTTTTAATTAACTCTCCCGGACTAGTTATGTATTTCTTCACCCCAATTCATTGGATGAAGGATTGGGGAAACGTTGCTTTCCAAGATTAGTGAGCTCTTATGTTTTGGCAGCCTAGCTCGCTGAAAACGAGATGGGTGCCCTGTGCGCTCTTCGATTAGCTACAGGTGGCTTGGGCACCAGTTCCCGGGGCAACTTCAATTCCTTGAGAAGTATTTCTTTTCACAACACGAACAAGTCATGGCTGCGATTTTATCGTTTTCAGGCGTTCATTCATTCTTTTTTCTCTTGTTCTCCGGATTTATTTGCTTTTCCACTGCCAATGGAATGCTTGGGAGAGGTAAAGATTTTACATTTTGTAGTTCGTATGTTAAGTGGCGAAAGAACCCGTTTGCGGAGGAAATATATTATTCATATTGAGTAAATTTTTTATAGTTGACGATCTCAAAGTGCATAAAAAATACTCAGCTGTATAGTACGTATTGAACGTTAAATATTTATAAGCTAAAGAGTCAAGGACTTACAGACTTAATACTATTTGTCACATGATCGAAGTTACGTTCTTTGCAAATCCATCGAGAGCCTTAACTTCATCAAGTGTTTTCCAAATCGATAGCTATAGGTGTTTCGTTGATGAAAACTCCTCACCACGTCACTTAAATTTGTCGCTGCCATTCTCCAGAGAGATCTTCCTATTCTCCTGAGAGTCAATAGAAGCTAGCAAACTTGACGATGATTGAAATTACGATTTAAAAACAGATGGAGTGAATTGCCGTGAGAAAATTTTTTAGTAACAGGTCAATAAAAGTTAATAGTCACCTGCATAATCTAGAAATCCAACGACTGTTCGATTAATTTGCCTGTTTGTATACAGATCTTAGTTAGTTCAAGGTTTTTACCTTACTTGCCTTCTGGTCAGTGATGTTTCAGTTCAGGTTATTTCAATTTTAACAATTGGACCCTAATGTTATCTTCTTTAACTCACTTTCTGCCTGAATCCTTTTTATTTACAAATTTATTTAACATTTATTTATATTTATTTTATTTCATAAATTGTTTAAAATTTTTCTTTAATGTGAATTTCTCATTAACCCTTTAACTCTCATGAGTGTTTAAGACAGAATTTCTCCTTACTATATCCATACAATATCTTGCAGACAAGTGATGAGAATAAAGTAAATATCAATTATGAGATTACTATTTGATCCAATACTAAATTCTCCAAACTAACATAAAGAGAATTATTTGGCAGACAGTAAGGAGAATTACTGAAGAGATCTTGGGGGTTATAGGGTTAAAAGCTATATATTAAATTCACTATCAGACATGTCTGCTTCTTGCCATGAGTTTATATTCTTAAATTGTCACTTACTGCTCTTTTTTAAGTCTTGTAGAATCAGATGATGATTGTGACTTCTTCATGTGACTTAAATGACTTAATGTGACTTCTTCATGTGACTTAAACAACTTATTATACAATTTAAATGTAATGTGCCTTTCCTTTTAGGTTTTGGGGATCACATAGACTGGAAGACATATTCTGAAGGACTTAAAGAAGCACAATCAAGGTGAAGCTTTCTTCTTATTGTGATTTAAATAGTGTATGCTGAGTTTAAAAACCTTTTTGCCAACTTCTCTGAGGTAACAGTGTTGCACAAAATTTCACAGAGTTCACAGACTTTTTTGCAAAATTGAACAATCATGATTTACTTTCTTGCTCTCTGTCATTCTCCTCAGTTTTTTCTTTGAGTTAAGGCTTGTTTGCCATACTATCAGATGCATGCGTACACTCCTGTAAGGGTTTGTTTGAAATTTCTCTACATCTATGAATTAAAAAATAAAAAGAAGGAAAATTACTGAACCCTTTACCTCCCAGAAGTGATTAACATGTAACTTCTCCCTACAACATCCATACATTATCCAATAAACAGGCAATGAGAAATTGCTCAAACTTATCAGGTAGAAGTTGTTACCCTGATCTAACACAAAATTCTTTTAACTTATCGACAAGCAAATGTATAGCAGCTAGAGGGAAGAATTAGCAATGAGATCTTGGGAGTTAAAGGATTAATAACAAATTGTAGTTTCATGACTGGGATTTTATTACAAGTATAAAAAAAAGACAACATTTTATAATAAATTGTAATTGGATTGTATATTAAATTTATTCTGATCTTGTATGTGTTATTGATATGTGTAGTACATATTCATTTGTTCAGCTTGCATTTTCATTGTTAAACATTTCAGCCGCAAACCTGTGATGGTGATTATTCACAAGTCTTGGTGTGGTGCATGCAAAGGTAAAATCTGTTTGTCTACTTAAGACTTAAGCACACAAAGACCTGGAGCAGTATCTAAAAGAAGTTACACATTCTTCATTGTTATGGATCATGTCCCAAACATTGTGATGTTCAGATTTTTATTAATAATTAAGTGAAATGCTGCATAATCAACTCAACATTGTGAAAAATATATTATTTTATTTAATTTTTTACCAAAGTAGAGGTGAAAAGTGTTGGATATTTAAACAGCTCACTAAATATTCATCACTTGCAACAACACGGAGAGGAGTAATTGTGTTAGTATATACCACACAAATACAAAAATATTAGTTTATTTCTTTCAATATACCAGAAAAAGGATTGAAATTAAACTCTTTAGGTGTGATTCTGTCTCATCAGCTGTTCAGAGGTGAATAGCTCTTGCTATTAACTTCCAAATTAGCCAATCAGTGCACACAAAAAGTATTATTCACCTGAGTGTGTGGTATATACTAAATATAATTACATATTTGATCAAGAGGAGCCCCACTTGTTTTGAAGGTAATGATGAAGAGTAAATAAAAACTATTTGAGAGTCTCAAAACTTGATTTACGATTCTTGAAACTTAAATCTCCAGGCTTGCAATGTGAAAATTACAATGTGAGCTTCGTAACTTCAGCAATTCTCAATTATTAAAACTATCAAGTATCATATATCAAGCTTTGAGTAAAGACAATATCAACTGGCTTTTGAGAAGTACTGTCACTACATGCGTTACCATACATGAGATGCAAATGCTATTTTTTATGTTGTTTACGGCAATTTTGTTGTCAAAACTACAGCATTAAACAGAAAAATTGTGAGGATTGTATAACTATTTATATTTCCTTTAGTTTGTTTTATTAGCAGATTCAGTCCTGTATTTTGCTTTCTACCTTTTCAGCCCTCAAGCCAAAATTTGCTGAATCAAAGGAGATAGATGAATTAAGCAAGAAGTTTGTGATGATTAATGTTGAGGTACTGATGTTTACCACCGAAGATTTTTCTTTGAATTTTTTCCTTATATGGTCATTTTTTCAATTTTTTTTGTCATTTTTCCAGTAAGTGTTATCATTGGCTGATTAAATCTCTTGTACATAAGCAAATTAGCAGGAACATGTAGAAAAAGTGAGTTAAAAACCAGAACATATTTAAGCCTAACTCAATGACCTTTTCAATGCAACTTGACTGTGCTTTTATTGATTATATTGTAAAGAATGACCCTGTTTGAGTACTATACTCAATGGTACAAGCAGGGCCAGAAAGGGGCCATATGGCTGAGGAGGAAAATGAATGAGCCTCCCCTGGGGTCATATGGTTATTAACTGAGTTTGGTGAGGATGGACAGAGAAACATTTGGCTCTCGGTCCAAACTCACAGACCTCAAGCCTAACTTTTTCCATTCTGGCCCTCTTACTTTTTCATTAAAAACACATTAGATGTTTGGTTCCATGGCTTTGGGATGATAAGTGAGATTTGGCATGCAGCTTAATGGTTAACATTCTAGACACTGGGTGAAGAGATCTGGGTGCCAGCCCTGGCTTGGTCGCCATATTGTGTTCTTACCCATGATACTTAACTCCTGACTCCCAGCCAATTGACAATTGCTACTGGTAAACAGTTAGGGAAAATCTGTCAAGATATGGTCCAGTGGGTAACTTGCAATGGATGGTGTCCCAACCTGGCAAAAAGAGTCTTTGCTCAACCCAAATGGTCCATCCTGCCAGAGCTAATCTTGGTTTCCATACCCTCCCCCCTCCCCCCCATCTGAAGGGACACCAATCCATTA